GATCCACGCTGCAGCTGCAGGCTGTTCGTAAGATCAGCGCGAGCCAGCAGCATTTCCACAGACCAGGTAAACACCTATTTATAATAACGTACGATGAGGGGACCTGGTTTATGTCCTCCAAAGGGAGTCCGGTCCCCATAATGTCCCCATGTGGTACAACATTCACACACAAGCTTGTTTATAAGGCTGTTTTCATTTAATTGTTGTTAGAAATCATTTTAAATAAGATATTGTTTCCAAGTTTAGACATAGATATTATCAATCTCAAATAAAAAAATGAAAAATCATCGTTTTATTTAATTATCCAATTATTAATTCTGTTTCTTGCTATTGTTTTGGTTTAAAGACGGAATAAGGAAATTATTAATTACCAACGTTTACTTTTCTTATTATTAATCATTTGAAAAATCAATATTATCAAAGGGTTTTTGAAATGTATCAATTTATGAATTGATTATAAATGAAAGGTTAATAATTATTTCACTGACACACACGGCTAATTTTGGACGTAATTATACATTTTTAAAACAGGGAAACTTTAATCTTTAACATTTAGATTCAAAACATTTGATCTCAAACAAATTAAAAATGAATCTGATTTAATTATTGTATTTTAATATTGGCATTGTTGAACTTCCAAACTGTGATAACCTTTTCAGATAATGGAACCAACATCTACAGGAAACCTCCGATCTACAAACATGGTGAGTTTTTATTTACGTTCTTCAGTTTCTGTATTTTTGTTCCTTCCTCACTGACGCAGCTTCCCGTCTCTCTGCAGATGTTAATAAACATGTGGAAGGCGTCATTCAGTCAGCAAAGTTTCCAGCAGCTCAGCCTCCAGATCCCAACCAGCCGTCCAAGATCGAGACCGAGTACTGGCCCTGCCCCCCCTCACTGGCTGCCATGGGTAACAAACACATCGACACTCTCAGATTATCTGCAGTTTAACTTTAAACCTGAGTGCTGGGAACTAAACTCAGTGGTTATTAACCAAACTCCACCTGTGGTTTAGTTTAAAGTTGCCTTGTCCTGCAGAAACCACCTAAGCACCACTAGAGGGCATCATATCAGATATTTAACTTTAATGTTATATATACATGAAAATCACTGCCACTAGACGTCACACTAGAGCTCCAGCATCTCAGACCAAAACAATAACCCACCAGACTCTATTAACAAAACCAGTAATTTTACCTTTCAGATAATTAGGATGATGATTATTATAAAACTCACCAAAACCGTCTCTGTTAGTCTTTCCAACAATTACCAACTCTGGTTTGGTGGAAAAAAGTCCTTAATTCACAAAGTTAGATGTAAAAATGTTTTTGTAAAGGGCAGCAGTGGTGCAACGTAAGATAACGATAATCCTCTGGGACAAAGGCACCACAAGTCTGTCCACTAACAGTAGTTGTTTTGTTCCACTGCCAATTCATAACAGAAGTTATCTCAGGACACTTTTCAAATAGAGCAGGTGTAGACCGAACTCCGTTTACATTTACAGAGACATGACAAAAGGTCACAGCAACAACAGTAGCAACAACTACACAATATAGGCACTGATAGATAACTACATCGTAACTCATCAAAAGAACAAAACAGAATAAAACTCATTAAAACCGTCTGTTAGTGTTTCCGCTGTTGATGTAGAGCGAACTAACTTTAAGGTTGAACTCTGGCAGAGATCGAGTGGAAGAAGAAGAAGCTGCAGGAGGAAGATGAGTTTGAAGACCTGACAGAGGAGGCCAAGACACTGCAGGAGCAAGAGCTGGAAAAGGTTTGTTTAAATCTGAGTAACACACACAGAGTAATAACCAGCAGGAATGACTGACTGTCTGTGGTGAATCCAGATCAAGTCCAACCTGGGTCGTCTCATCCTGAAGGAGGAGAAGGAAAAGGCTGTTCACTTTCGGAGGAAGACGCAGTCGCTGCCCGACAGAACTCACATGCACACCAGTAAGACTGATTCTCCTTTCAGTTTCTGAGTTCAGGAAGAATCTGTTCTCAACTGTCTCTCTTTCGTTTGTTTGATGGCAGGTTTATCAGCAAGTGCATCAAAGTCTCCATCACACTCAGGCGCAGGCTTGACCAGAGTAAGTGTTCATATAACACATCATGTTTAAATTGGGTCTACTGTGACTTCCTAACATACATCGAATCAGTGAAGTCTAATAGATTACTGTCCAGATCTACTACGAGTGTTTCTATATAGTCAGAGAACAATTTACTCTCTTGTAACTCACAACAACTCCCCGAACTTATAGTTAATCTCTCGCCATCATGATTTCTGGTAGAAAAAAAAGATGCAACTAGTCTGTTCTGATATCGAAGCGCACAGCTCATCCTACCAACAGTCGAGTGTTAAAGACTCACCCAGGATACATTGGTGATCTGAGACAGCTTAAATTATTTCCAAGATATTTGGTCATTTGAATCAATCTCCTGACTGGAAAACTAGTCTGTAATTTTATATTTTATTTTACTTTTAGGTATTCAAGGTTTCAAGGGTGCAAGGGAGTCCCAGAGTCTGTTTCACTCCTTTAAAGATCAGTTTCTATAGTTTATATTGGAGCTTATGTCAAATGAAGAATACTACATAATATTGTCCGAAGCTTCAAAAACATTATTATTAGTTGGTGAGAAACTGTTGCAACAGTAAATTTACTGATTTATGATCTGTTTTGTGTATTTTCAGATGCAGTCTGCAGAGTTTTCCACAGACGGAGATAAAGGACGGTCAGGTAGGATTCTTGAGTTTTTACAAATTTATATATATTATATATTTCTTAGACATATTCTGTCAAAAACTACGGCTGTAACTTATTGTACATTTCTGAACATCTGCACAAAAACATGTAAAACCACAAACTTTGGTTTTCACATGACAGTTTTCTTTACATCTAAAACAGTGAGCATTTGTCTGTTAGCTTTAGGGGCTAGCTGTTTCCCTCAGCTCTCAGTCTTTATTCTTCACTCAGACATGAGATTGATATTGATCTTAACACTTGAACTGAACCAGTGTTTAGAGTTATAACAGACACATCAGTCCCAGATGACCATGAATCTACTGCAGCACTGTGATCATGTTTTATGTTCTGGAGCTCACTCTCTGATCTTCCTGTCGTCATGTCTTTGCAGCTGCTCAGGTAAGCTCAGTCGACTCAGACTGTTTGTGTGGCATGTGCATGGCCAGTGCTGTGTTTAACCTGCGAGTGAACAGCTGTCTGCACTATAACTCCTCCTGCACAACCCTGATCCATCTGAACAAAGTCTGTCTGCCCCGAAAACACTGAACAGATGTTTGTGCGCTAAATCACCAACGCTGTGCACCTACTTCTAACTCGCTGCTTCCTTCTGGCTTGGCATTAATGTGATGGTTTATATGTTGACCAGATTGTAGAGGAGTGTCTTTCATACTGTGTGTGTGTGTGTGTGTGTGTGTGTGTGTGTGCAGAACGGAGAGGCTCGGAGGGAGAGGATGGACAGAGGAAACTCTCTGCCGAGTATCCTGGAGCAGAAGGTGAGAGCTGCTCCAGCTGCACATCAGCTCAGTTCATCCAGATCCACACACAGTAGATTACAGACGCTCAGTTAACAAGTCAGAGCAAAGTTTAGGTCCAGGATGTGGTTAGCCTAGCTTAGCACAAAGACTGGAAGCAGGGGGAAAGTGCTAGCATAGCTGTGTAAAAAGAGAAATTATGTATGTGCCTTAAAACCAGACATAAGATGTTATTTACACGTTGTATTAAAGACGTATAGAGATACTGAAATAAAGAGAAATACAGAGAGAAATGTAGAGAAAAAGATTTAGCTAAACATAATAAAGTTATAGTAGTAAAGATAGAGGGAGGTATAGAGAGAGAAATAGAAATATATATATATACAGAGCGAGGTCCTGGACGAGCCCCCATTTGTCACAAAGTCCACGCAACAATTATTCATATTAAACTACGGTTCATACAAATCAGAAGAAAGGACAGTGAAGCAGGCTGGATTCAGCTGTAAGAGGGACTGAGTGAGCACAGGGACCAGGTTTTACACCTACAGAGACCAGGTTTTA